CACATGGGAATCTTTTTAAAATCCAGAATTCTGGGCCCTCATCTCCGGGAAATTCTGTTTCTTTGTTACGATGTGGGGCCCCAACATTAGTAACAAAGAAACAGAATTTCCGAAGGATGAGGCCCAGAAATCAGGATTTTAAAAAGATTCCCAGGTGATTCTCACGTGCAGCCAAGGTGGAGAACCACTGCTCTAGGGGAACAAGACCTTGGGTGAACTTCCTTCCACTTTTCCATGGAAATCTGGTAAAGGTGGAATGCTGGCTGTGTTCTCAGGTGACATTGCTTATAAAAAATGACAGACTCATCTGGACTGGGAGGACTGGAGGTGGGAGGCCATGGCTTTGGGCTCCCCCAAAGTGCTGCTTTTTGTAACTGGGCATGACCCTTGCTGAGACCTCTGGAAGCTCAGAGGGCTATTATAAGAGATATAATTCCTGTGTGGAGGCTGGGCTCCTCGGCCAGACTGGCTCGGAACCACCCATGTTGCTGCTTCTCTTATAGCTGAGCTGTCACACGGTGGAGGGCAGTGTGGACTGCCCCCCGGGTATTGTGTGGACACCCGCTGATGGCATGCCTATGCGAGGTGGTGCCAGGAGGGCTTGTGGGGCTTCCTGTGTGAGAGGTGTGCCCATGAACCCAAGACCACCGAGGGTAGGTGCTCAGATAGGGAAGCCAGCACATAAGGCAGCGGCGGCCCACCTCTCTCCCTTGCCTGCAGCTTTTACTGGGAGTCTCTCCCACTTCTGCCTTCCTGTGGCTTCCTCCACGGCTTCTCAGGTGATCTTTACAATGGTCCTGCCAGCACTCCACCCTTGAGTTTTCTGGAGGAGGCCTGCCCTCTGAGGAACAGGACCATGCCCCACCGCATCTGTACTCTGTACTCTGAAGGCAAGTGCTCCTTGGTGTTGAAAGTCCAGCTCAAGGAGGCTCACATGGGGGGAGCCTGCCCAAGTGAGGACTCCAGCTGGGCCTGACTGGCTGTGTGACCACGGGCAAGCCTCTTCCCCTCTCCGGGTGTTTATTTCTTCATCTATCACCCGGGGGGTAGGCTCTGCATGGATCATCTCTGAAGCACCCTGGAAGCCAGGCCAGTCTTAGCCCATTCAGACCTGGTTCTCTGCCCAGGCTCCTCCTCTCTGTGCTTGCTGTTAGCATTGTCATGGGGAGTGATGGCAGAGGTGCCTGCCTCGTGGAGTGGTTGGCAACCCAAGTGAGAGTGTTGTGGAAATAACTGGTGGGAAGGCAGGTGTGTAGGAAGCTCACGGAGGGAGCCTTCCACGGGGCAAGGATCACCTGTGGGAATGCATCAGAGAAGGGGCCAGTCATTTTCCCCAAAAGCCTCAGGCTCCTCTGGGGCTGGCGTGAGGGGCATTCATCAACACTTGGGCACCACCTCACGTAGGGTGTACTCTGTTCAGAGATGGCGTCCGTGGAAAAAGCCTTGGTTTGGGGGTTGGCCAGATGCAGGACAGGGCCTGGCTCTGCCCAAGTCTTTCTCTGTGACCCTGAGCAGCTAACTTCCTCTCCCTGGGCCTCCATCCCCCACTGGCAAACAGGAAGGCGGGTGTCAATCAGAACGCTGGGTCAGTCCCCGGGCGGTGGGGTGGGAGACTCACCCACAAAGAGCAGTGTGAAGATGAGGGTGAGCTGGTAGACGGCGTGGCCCAGGATGTTCTTCATCATGGTCCGCGAGATGAGGGGCTTGTTGCGGCCGTACGGCTTCCTCAGAAGCAGGGTCTCGGTGGGCGGCTCGGTGGCCAGCGCCAGTGAGGCGAACGTGTCCATGATGAGGTTCACCCAGAGCATCTGCACGGCCTTCAGAGGGGAGTCCTGGGGACAGCAACCGTGGAGAGGGCTGTCATGGGGAGACCAGCCCCACCTGCTGCCACCACGTGCCTGGTGTGGGGCTCATCACTGGGGGCTCAGCAGCTTCCTGCTGGAGCCTTGAGGCTGCTCTGTCCAGTGGGTCTGCCCTCACTGGCCTGCCCCCTGGGCTCCTGAGCAGGCACAGAGCAGGTTCGCTGAGGCTGTCCCTGGAGGACAGCCCAGACTTGCCCACTTTGGCTGTCTTCTCCCTCAAGGACAAAATGGACTCCCAGGGCCAATGGCCACTGGCTCTCTGGTAAATACAGCCACATCCTTGCCTGCCACCTCCCTTCCCCCCCATGAGTCTCACCTCCAGGCAAGGCCACACGTCCCCCACCATCTCCAGCACAGACTCCATCTCCTCTGTCTCCCTCTGCCCCTCCCCGCTGCCTCTTTCCCCTCAACCAGTGGTTCTCAACCTCTGGCCCTTTAAATACAGTTCCTCATGTTGTGACCCAACCATAAAATTATTTTCGTTGCTACTTCATAACTGTAATGTTGCTACTGTTATGAATCGTAATGTAAATATCTGATATGCAGGATGGTCTTAGGTGACCCCTGCGAAAGGGTCGTTCGACCGTCAAAGGGGTCGCGACCCACAGGTTGAGAACCGCTGCCCTCAACCATTGATGGCTCATGTCTCTCCTACCTTACCAGCAGTGCCCCAACCCTGTCCTCTTCTCACCACCACTCAATTTCTCTTTATCCTTTACCCACTTTGATGTCAGCAGTTATTGTTCCAAATATAACATTTTTATGGTAGAAAATTGGGGCAAGTAAGGAATAGCGCAGAAGCTAAAACTCATCAGTGATTGAACCACCTATAGGTTCCCACTGTCCAGTCTGGCGTGGATCGTCCCACACCTCTGCCTGAGACGGGATCACATATTCATACCGTCCTGTGCAGTCATGCCATGCAGTCTGCACTGCCCAAAGTTGCTTAATCCATCCGTCTCCCTCCTTCCTCGCACCCTGCGTGCCT